CAGATTGGACAGGGCAGCGCAGAGGGGCTGGGGTGTTGGTGCAGGCATCCCTTGCGTCTGAAAGAGGGGTTGGGTTAGAATAGACCGAGGGGTTGGAGCTGGGCAGGGTGTTCTCAAGCTGAGAGACCAGGGGGAGGTTGGGCAGGGCCCAGGGAAGACCAAGGAGTACTCCAACCTATGGAACTAGATGACCGAGTGGCCCGCTTTATGGGAGATCTTGAAGTCAAGGAGAGGAATTCAGAATTGGCGTGAGGATTGGGCCATGAGTTGCCTGGAGTAAGGAAGTGTGCGGAATCCAGAGCCTTCACTGACCCTGCGTCTATTGAGTTGATCGAGGGCACTGGTGGATGAAAACCCCCCTTGAAGCCGAGAGCACTTCAGGCATGTGGCATAGCCTATCCCGGGCCATGGCAGTGCTGACCACGGAGCGCAGGAAGAGGTCAGTCTTGAAGGACAAGTATCAAGGCTTGTAGTAGGTGACGTCTGCTGGGTCAGGCAGTGAATTGGGGCTCTGGACATTTTTAGCAAGCGGTCAGAAGCCCTGCTTCATCTTGAGACTGTGACATGGTTGACAGTGTGGGGGGAGACAGGGACAGGTGCCCTGGACTTTGTAAGAAACAGCGTGGTCAGGGCTTTGATCTGGGCTATTTGGGGTGTTATAGGAGCACTAAGAGAGATGGGCTAGTCCAACATGAGGGCCCAGCAGCCGTCCTGGACAGGAGACTGTAAGCTGGTGCCAACAGGATGAGCAGAAGCAGCTCCGCTGTGGGGACAGGCAGCTGTAGTCCAGTGGTGGAGTTGGCACCTTCCGAGCAGATCTAGTTTCAGGGCACCTTGTGTGCAGCTACTACCTGCCTGTCAGTGTAGGCCTGCTGGAGGTTAGACAGGTTGCAGCAGAGCTTCCAGACTAAGAAGGACTAGGAAGAATGCCCCAGTGACCTGCTTGTGGGAAACCAGCTCATGAGAACCATTTGGCTTACAGTGGTCTGAGCCACCATGGGTCATGGGACAGCACAGGACCAGGGGACATTTTGTTCCCTTGTGCATGGGATCCTCAGGAGGCAGGGTGGACCTGATGGAGCTCACAACAACACTGTGGGAGTGAGGAAAAGGAAAGAAGTGTGAGAGGTAGATGCCCAGCAGTGAGGGACTCCAGGGCACCAGAGTGGTTCACTGTGGCTGGACACAGCCAGCCAGATGGAGGAGGAATGGCAGAGAGATGGACAGGGATGGTGAGCAGAGGAACGCCAAGAAGGGCTTCTTAGGAAGAGATGAGCCAGTCAGGGTGCGG